GAAAAATGTTTGGTTTTGATGAGAAATGCAACTTTACAATTTTGACAAAAAATGCGATTTCTCAGTTTTAATAGGAAATGCAAATTTTTTGTTTTTGATGGATAATGCGATTTTTTGGTTTTTATGCGAAAATATGATTTTTTTTGTTTTCGCGGAATATTGGAATTTGACGTTTTTGGTGGGAAATGCAATTTTTCAGTTTGATGGAAAAACAAAATTTCTCGATTTTGACGGGAATAAGCAATTTCTTGGTTTAGATGAAAAATGCAAATTTTCAGTTTTTGACAAATAATTTGATTTTTTTTTGTTTTCGTGGGAAAATGTAATTTTTTAGTTTTCACGGGAAAACACAATTTCTAGTGAGTTTTTTTTGCTAGAAATTGTAGTTTATTTGTTTTGGTAGGAAAGCGTGATTTTTGGTTTGACGAGAAAATAATTTTTTGGTGAGAATATAAGATTTTTCAGTTTTTGCAGGAAAATAAATTTTACGGTTTTAACAGGAAAATTTGATTTTTTTTTATTTTTGCAAGAAGATGAATTTTTTTTTTCTTTTAGTGAAAAAACGTGATTTTTTCTGTTTTGACGAGAAAACATAGGTTCTCGCGGGAAAATGAAATTTTAGGTTTTATGTTCGACGAAAAAATGATTTTTTTGGTTTTGATGGGAAAATACGATTTCTCAGTTTCATAGGAAAATGAAGTTTTTGGTTTTGATGGAAAATACGATTTCTCGGTTTTTGTAAGAAGATGAAATTTATATGTGCTAAATTTCCAAGTTAAAGTATGTTTATAGTAACCAAAATTTAATTATTTAATTTTAACTAATCGATATTTCAACAGTTCAAACAGAGTTTTCTATTTAGTTATAAAGCAATAGCAATGGTTTTGGTATGAATATTATTGATTATAGTTTGTTAGTTTTGGATACATATGTTTATAATAAATATTTTATAAATAAATAAATTCTATAATTCAAGATAATTATATTAATTAATAAATCTTTTTTAAAATGGTATTTTGCTTTATATAATTACAAAAGAGGATCAAGTGACAATTTATTAGAGAAAATATATTACATTTGCCATTAGTATGAAGATACTAAAAATATATTGCTTTATTCTTACATATACATATATAATTAGTTAGCTAAACAAATTTAATAGCAAATTATAATTTCAAAAAAAAAAAAAAAATAAAAGATATACAATGTTTATTCAATTGAAAACATATAAATACATAACTTAAGCTAATAAAAAATAAATATAATACTCATTTATATTATAAAAATAATTTTATTATATTAAAAATATATTTAAAATTTAGAAAAATATCCTACAGTAGCGTAGCGTGGGTAAATACTTAGTTAACAATGATTACACTAAAACCATAACTATCCTTGATATAATATTTTTATAAATCGTAGTGCCAGTGTCGTTCTAAATGCACCACATGATGACAAGCACATGACCAACTGTCTTCGTTACTTGAAATAAGTTAACAAAGACGATTATGTTGTCGCGAAAAGTCGTTTGAAGTACGCTATGCCTAACATAAACCAAATTTTAACAATGACTTCGTGTCGTCGTTACTTGTTCGATATAAGCAAAACAATGTTTATATCTAACATAAACTAAACTTTATGAAGACTTTGCCGTTGTTAAATCGTTACAGTAATATCTTTAAGATGTCTAGATTGTGTTTCAGAAATATATATATATATAAAAAAAACTAGCTCTTATATTACTTCTATATCGTTTCCATAAAATACAACATTGTTCATGTGGGAACGAGCTAAGCATAGAAATGTAGCAATGATATATATACTATGTCTAGATTATTATTCCTTGTCTTCCACTCATATTAGACTGACCTTCCCATTTAGTCCAATGCAAGATTCCTTAATAATTTTGAACAGTTTTAAAATCGCTAACAATTATACAATCGAATAAAATGTTCTTCAAGAAACATCGGAGAGCAGTGGTGTACAAAAAAACTTCATCCACAAGCTGGAATGATAGGAAGTAACGGCAGTGATGCGTCTCTTTCACACATATCCGGACTAATCTCTATGACTCCTTCGCCCTGCCATGTTTAATTATGAGATCAACAATATATGCAGCACCAAAATTTCCTTATTGGTCATGATATATTTTAGAGGTACCAAGTTTATTTTCTATTAAATATTAGTGTTTACAAAATATTTAATATATTTTTTAATACACTGTAAAGCTAACATTATTATTAACTTGTTTTTTTATACAATAAACTGTGTTATTGGGTTTTGTATTTTAGTAAATCTTTAAACTAATAACAATGGATTATAGTAAGATTTTAAGAATCAATAAATCAATAACTAGGTGGTTGCCTTGCACATATGTGCGGATATATTATTATTGATATACATACTTAATTATAATATTTAAATATTGATTAATTTTTTTAAACATTGGTATGTTTATATATATATATATTATTTTAATATTTTACAAACTTCTTTCTGAAACCAATGTATTTTGAAACATTATATTTTTATAATATTTGTAATAATATATAATCACAAATATAAAAGTTATATTAAATAATAATTAAAATTTTATAATATTTTTTGAATATTTCTATATATGCTTTATTTCTCCTTACACAATCTACAGTATGCTTTTTTACGTCTTACATATTATAAATTTGCAAATACATATATAATATATTTTAAGTATATAGTTTTTCTTGATTTATTGTAAATTAAACTGAAATAGTTTTTACTATTTTTACTTATTCGTAAGAGAAGATAGATGGTTGGCACGCATGTGCGGACATACAACCACTTCACTACACTTAGAATAGATAAAAAAAATTAAAAATATAAATTACATAATAACTAAAATAAAAATTAGACTGTAATCAAGCTTAACAAAATACATGCGAACTTTTTGAGTGACTTCAACTAATGCATAATTAATATTTATGTGTGTACGCGTATTTGTAAAAAAGTCCAGATATAGCTCTTATGTGTTAAAAAGTTTTTAAATGACTTTGTAAAACAAAGTGCAAAAGATTTATTTTTATATACTTCTATTTCTATTTCTTATTCATATTTGTTTCATCTGATTTTAATTTATTCTTTTGTTCGATTACTTTTTATTTTATTTATGATCTCAAAATTTTAATATGCAATGAAAATATATATATATATATATATATATATATGTGTGTGTGTGTGTGTGTGTGTGTGTGTGAATATAATATAAAATTTTATTTTTATTTAAAATATGATAAGAGATAAGATGAGATGGTAACATAAGTTATGTACATTTTAGAAAACAACAATAAAAAAATGATAAAAGTTATAGAAAAATATATGGTCCTATTAATATTATAAAATAATAATTAGTATATACTTTATTCATTTAGTAAATATTGGTTTGAAAAGAAAAAATATTTTAAAATATTTTTTTAAATTCTTTTTAATAAAAGTTAATTATTATTATGTTTAACATTCTATTGTTTAAATTATTTTTTTTATCATGATTGTATTTTATTTAAAACTTGTTTAGATGTTATTACTATATTTTGTAAATTAATATCTTTCCAAAATAAAATATATCATACTTCAAGTATTATTAATATATAGAATTTGTACTATTCTATTGGACATTTAGTATTATTTGTTTTGCTTTTATATGAAATTACAATATATATATATATATATTGCTGAAAAAATTTCTTAGTTATATTTTATGAAATTATGAATATACGTAAAAAATTAAAATTATAATAATAATTATTTTCTGTTAATTTAAATTTGTTAATTTTAGTATTATAAATATAATCTAGTGTATTTATGTTTTAGTTTTACTATTTTCTTAATTTTAGTTCAACCAATCAAAATATTTTATTTATTTTAGGAAGTTTGACATGTCACATTTACATGTCATCAATTAAAAGCACTAACTCTGGTTGTAGTGTTGACAAATCAGCTATTTTCAATAATGTTACTTCTCAAATAATATGTAGTGGATGATGTAATCTCAAAATTTTCAAAATCTACATAAATCCCTCTCCCAATAACCCCCTTTTAAAATCAATCAAAACTTTATAATTCCATCTCACAATAACTTGTATTTTAAAATCTATATTAAAATATAGTGTTATTGGTTTTATGATTTTAAAATCCATAATGAAATATAGTGTTATTGGTTCTATAATTTTAAAATATAAATATTATAAGGATTTGAGTTTTAATTGAATTTGAATAAATTTGGAAGGATTTTCATGACTAAAATACAAAGACTAAAATACAAAGTTTAACCTTGGTATTTAGGTGGATTTGATTTATTTTTTCTGTTTTAATGATTATAAAATCAATAGATTCATCAAATTCAAAAAAGATTACTAAATTTATTAAAATACAGGAACCAATAATTTTTTTTTAGTATTGAATATTTAAAAGAGTTGTAATTTTTGTTTTGATTTGGGCCACCATATTTATTGGACCAGTCCTGGATGGTTTGACAGGCCCATACTGCCCTCGTTGGTATTGCGGCAGGCCCTAATGCAAAAGAAAAAATACGGGCATGGTCTCCACGGTATCATGATGGTGGATCGATCGGTCATCAACTTTTTTGTTACCAAAACACATGCCGATCCACCCGTCCACCATAACATCTCTTATTAGAAATTTAGAATATTAGGTTTGATGGTGTGGTAGCTTAAATGGATTTTGGTTTTAGATTTTTTTGGCAAAAAAGAACACTGTATCATCCAATTAAGATTTTGGAAAATGGGTGTTCTTAAAAATTATGGAACATTTTTTAATAGAAAGTTTCATAACTAATAATTTTGTTAACCAGAAGAATTTTGAGCCAAAATCCATACTAATTCCAGGAACATGTGTAAGACAGGCAGGGTGAATCTGTCAACCACTCATCATAAGTTGGTTTTCTAAAAACAATTACAGTTTAGTTTTTTTTGTATTAAAAACTAAACAACAAAAGCATAAAAACTCTACAAAAAGCTCCAAACATTTAAGTCCGTTGTTACCTTGGCAATGTTTCTGAAATAGGAGGTTGTGTAGTTTCCAGTTGGAAACAAGGCTTCAACAATGTCAGCAAGTACCAGATTTGGTTGTGAGATAGCTCCATCGTACCAGTCTTCTCATGATCAAAACACAAAATACGGTTTCAGCTCAAATCAATAGAAACTGACAATGTTCAAGACTTTCCTACCAAGAGTTGTTCCATTTCTGACCCTTTTGTCATATCTCCATATGCTCTGATTAAACGCAAAACAGGAGTTATCCTCCAGGTTTATGTTTTGCAAGAACGTTGCTTGTGTGTAATTCTGAGGGTCAGATGATAGCGTTTCATCGATCACCGCATCCACAGTCTGTTAAGTCCAAGAAATAAGTTTTTCTGGTAATTAGAAATATAAAAGAAGAAAAAGTAAGACCTGCTTACGCATAAAATGGCATGGAGTGCTTCCAAATCATCAGGATCAGAGACGTTGTAAGTGATCTTGTTTATAGATTTATCAATATTTTCGCCGCCCGCATGTTCTACAAACTGTTGTTGTTTACGTGCATAATGTTCAGTTTCAAAGATATTTCCAGATATTCAGACAAATAATTTCTAATGTCAAAATCTTAAATGCGTACCTTTAGCTTATGTGGTTCCTTTGTAAAACACCAAACCCCTCCCTTCAAGAGATAAAACATATAACAATTAGTCAAAAACCATTAAAACACATTAATCTACGAATTATAAAAAACTAGTGCATCCAAACATGACTCTTGCTTAAATTTGTTTTCCGAAAATTGATTTTGAATATGCACACAAGCCAGGGAGGACAATTTTTCTGACCAAAAAATTATAACATACAGATATTCGGTTGTTATAAAATTTGCAAAGAAATTATTTGAAACCGTCCTAAGTTACAAGAAGGCTTTCGTACATCTTTATCGTACTCCATCCAAGCTACAATGGGTTTGAAGGATTTCGTCTTGTTGGCTGCCATTTGAGACAAGCAAGTATAGCTTGCCTTGACCTGCAAGGCTCCATAAAATACTTAGTAGACAACAAGAGTAGGCAGAATTTGTATAGAGAAGCGCAACACTCACCGCATCGTAGACTTGATTTGCTTTAGTTTCAAGATTGGTAAAAGCACCAAGGAACTTGATCCACTCTGCTCGCTAATTCAAGAGTACAAAAAAGCATAACCTCAATTCAAAATGTGGAAAGTTGAAAATCTCTTTCACTCTTGGTTAGGTTTAAATCAATGCTAAGATAATATTAGGCACCTGAAGAGGTGTGCCTTCACTTAGTGGAAAAAAGTTTGCAAAATTGCAAGTTTGAAGTTGATCGGTGTTGCTAATGAAATGTGCTGCGAATTGAGACACTTCTTGTGCACCTTTGTCAAGCTTAACTACTTCCCCTGCCTCAAACTGTTTAAGAACACACGGTGAAGCTACGGCGTCCGATGTTATTCCCTTCAAGCTTCCGAGTAATCCAAGTAGCTGCGGATAGAACCATAAAATTTGTTTTTCTTCACATCCTAAAACAGTATCCATTTATTTTTTCCCATTCTACAGCGTGATCCTAAGGAATTTCTTGCAACGGTACCAACCAAACTCTAAGATTGTGTTTCTTGAGATGCTAAGTCTTTAGATTAGCTATAAAGAAGTGTTTACCTCGAAGAAAGAAACCGGAACGCCTCCTGAATATGAAAAAAACAACAGAGAGATCTGAAATGCAGAGTCATTATAAAGAGAGGAAAGAAACAGGGGAAAATAACAGAGCATACCTTGAGAAGATTGAGTGTCTACTGAGTAGTTAAGAAGTGGAATCACATAGGACTTAATCCTAGAAGTACAATACTTTGTCCGAACCGCCATTCTAGAAGTGTTCTACAATTTACCTTTAATATCAGACACTAACCAAACATTTGGAAACAAAGAGAAAGAAAACTTGATGAGAAAAGTAAGGACCTGAATGAGGAGATAGCTCTTGCCATCAATGGCGTTCTTGATGACTTTGAAAGTTTGTCCATAATATATATGGAAATTCTCAGCATCTTCTACCTTTGAAATGCTTCCCACTTTTACATTGTTGGAAGCTCCGTTTGATTCTCTCACCACCATGCAGCACAATAAAACTAATAACAGTACCAGAGGCCAAGGAGAAGAAGGCGATGAAGACATTATCACTGTCAATTAAGCTTGGTGATGAAGAAAGAAGACAAAATCAACTAAACCCTTTTGGAATTTAGATTGGTTCACCTTGATATTTGTGGTGGTTAGAGAGAAAGAGAGATACTGTATTTATTTATTTTATTATTGTTTTCTTTTGGTTTGGTAAGGAATACATTTTTATTCGCTAACAATTCTGTTGGAATGTACTTTTTGTTTTTGTTTTACTTTTAAACAATTTCGGAATTCAGATGGAATATTTGCCTCTCTCCACTTCCTTACTTGAGGATAAATTTATATGCAACCACTATTTTATCAGAAACAAAGTACCATATCAAAGCCCCAAAAAAATACATCAGTGCCATATAAGACATGTGCAATGCTAGAAACATTAAGATACTTTCTTAAATATAAAATATTAATATAATATAATAATATAAATAAATTTTAAATATAAAAATTTAAACCAATTATATGATGACATATGTCTAGAAAAGTTTTAGAACCAGTTTTTAAATGAGAGTTATAAAAACTGTTTCTTTTCAGATTTCTTATTTTTTATTTTTTTTTATTTTTTTAAAGTTAAAATATTTGTTAAGAAATGCTCTAACATCTTTATATATAGTTTTTTTTTCTCTCATCATCTTAGTTTACTGACTATATGACCAGTTTTATAACCGCTCTTAAGGAAGTAGAAATTAAAATAAACTGGGGTGTCAAGATTCCTAAGTAGGATGGTCTATATAGAGTATATTGTCGATCATGAAACGAAAATTCGGTTGAAGATGGAACATAAAATTCATTTTCTCAGGAGCATGAAAAGGATTCCCGTACCAAAACTGTAATAGGACGTTGAGTAACACAAACAAAGAATCTCTTATTACAATTAAAAAAAAAAAATCTCTTATTACAAAATAATAAAAGAAAATGGAAAGTAAGGTTTTGATTGAAAGTGAGCATGCTAGAGGTGACCCGTGAAGAGAGCACGTTACTATCATTGATTTGTCATTTTGTGTTGCAATAGTTAGCGCTTTCGCTTTCTTGTGATTTTCTGTCTATACCCATTACCTCTTTACCACGTGCATCCCATTTCCATTAGCATAAGCTTGATTCCAAGCTTTCTGACTCTGAGGTCCTATAAGATAATGCAATATGTTCATTTTTAGTTTAGAGTAGTATATTGTGAATGAATTCATAGTAGGTTAAGGTATCATAAATAGTTAATATCAAAATATTTGGGAAGTCGTTGGTTTTTTGTTTTTGTTCGATTACTGTAGTTATATAGTTTTTTTTTAAAACAAGGGTTACTGTAATAATACTATTTTTTTTATGAACATTCAGTAGTTATACTAGCTGCTAAATTTATAAACAAAACTAGCGATACTCTCTAAGTTCATATTCATCGATCATATTTCCCACCGAAATGCTTAAAATTTTGGAATCCAATGTTTAATTTGATGGGACATTTTTTTTAAAAAAACATAAGTTACGTTTTTGATGGAATTTGTGAAATAAACCTAATTTTCATTATATATATTGAACTATTTGCTTTTCTTGCACTAAGACACTCAAAAGGCAGTGCCCTTTTATAACAAGTTTTAAACAATCAATTATTTGTTTTGTTTTAAGTAATATGTTTCTTGATTTGAATTCTGTCTTTGTTTTAAAGTAATATGTTTTGAGAGTGATTTTGGTGGCTACATTTTGATTTCTTTCATGTTTACATATATTATATATTCAAAAATAACTATTTGGATGAAAATAAACAAATGAAGATTGAAATATTATGTAGGAGCATCCTAAGTATAACATCTGATGAGAGGTTCCCACCTTTAACTCAAGTTTAAATTTTGGTAAATATTAAAAAAAGTAATTATATTTTATTTGGAGCTGGTTTGAAGTTTATTGAGTTATCAAATTGAGATATATAACATAATTAGTGAAGACAAATTAACGGCAAGTTTCAGACGTATGTGCATTATTTAAATATATATTTTTCAATTCTATGGTTTTATAGTAATTATTTTTATTTAGATATTATTATTTTTTTTAATAAAGAAATGCTTTAAAATGACTCAGAATGATAAAATAATGTGAAATAGGCACCTTATTGAAGGAAAATTGTGAAAATGACCTTTTGTTACGATTTTTTTAAATACCAGTGCTACCCTTCTAACTACTGTTATTTGTAGACTAATAGCAGACTAACGGCAGAATGAATGCATATTATTGACAGACTGATTTGTCAAATAATTGAATGTAGGCTATTAGCAGGCTAATGGTACACTAATTGCAAATTACTGACAGACTTATAGCAGATTGAAAGCAAACTAGTGGACTCTTTTTATGGAAGGGTCATGTTTCATAATAAAATTATCAAGTGGGTTATTTTAAAAATTATCCCTTCTTTAATTGATTTAATGACTAATATTACTAGATATTAAGGAGTATAATTCCTAATAAATTTTAAATAATAAGTTTAATGTTTAGACAATTAAGTGGAAAGAGCACAAAAGATAGATGTACAGCTCCGATTGGTAAGGACTATGATTGTAGACTGTAGAAATTTTGGCTTTAAAAACTGTGACTGTTAATATTTTTTAAAGTCTAATTGGTGACAAAAATTGTAGAAACTATGGCTGTTAAATTTTTTCTGAAAAATAATTCAAAAACAAATTCTGGTAATATATTTATAGAAGTAAAATAAATTATACTAGTAAATTTTAAATATATTTTCATATGTATATTTAAATTGTTATGATTAAAATTATTTTATAAAAAATTGACATAAAGAATTAATACAGTTTGATTAGTTCAACAAAATTTAATCAATAAATCTATTGATAGTGTTAAAATCTAATAATTTGTTTATTAGTTCATTTGTTTGAATGTGTTGCTATGTTTTTGTGTTGAACATGTCGTTCAGTTTATTTATTTACTTCGTTAAGTTTAGTCTTTTTGTTTTTTTTTTATTAAAAATCAAAACTAAATAATAATAACTAATGATTTAGTCATGTTAATTTCTAAGGATGAATTTATTATTATTAAAATAACTAATTTGACTAAGTATTACTTATTTGTTCTATTTATTTGTGTTATTTAACTGTTTATATTGTTGTTAAGTATAAATGATAAAATGAGAAGAAACAATAGAGGAAAAAATGAGATTAATCGTAATGAACAAAAAGTGAGAAGGGAAGAGAAATAAAAGTAGAAAAAGTGTTAGTAAGGTGGCTGTAGAAAAAAAAAAAAAAAAAGAAATATTAATGAGGACTTTAAAGAATGTAGAGGAAAAATAGGAAAGTAAAGTGTGATTGGTTAAAATTTAGTTTTAGAAACTGTAAAATCTCTTACAGCCTTCACAGCCATTACACCAATTGGACCGTAAAAAGATACATGTTATATTCAAAAGACCAAGACTGTATGTTTTTTTTCACAAAGACACATATTACGTTTTGAAAGCCAAAGTTTAACACTTATCTAATAACTTATCATCTACATGATCATCTCTACTCTTGATGGAAGGTTAAAATTTAATCTTAAAAAACACAGATTTGGAACTAAGTCCTCTCTCCACCTATAAATATGGTTTTATCTATCATAATGTCATAACTTAAGAAAACAGCACATTAAAGAAATGTTTTTAGGCAAGGGGAGAGAAACCAAAATTTCTAATTAAAGTCCAAGCTTTAATCTCAATTATACTCAGGGAGGCTTCTTATGACAATGGAAGGAGGTATTCTGCTATTCTTACTAATAGTTATATTATGTGATTAATTTAGATGTTTAAAGATCTTAGATCATGTTAAAATTATGCTTAACAAGTGATATCAGAGCATCATTTAAACCATTGTTTTTAATCCATTAATATAATATAATTATTAAAAATTATTATAAAATAATGTGACCACAATTTATGAAATATTTGTGCTTTATGTAAGGAGGGTTAAGATCACTATGTTGGCTTTATTCTCCGATCATTGAATATTTAATATATTTATGTATTAAATATTTACCCACATGTAGATTATAGACATGGTATATAATCCAAATAATAATAGAGAGTGTTATATATGTATTGATTAAATATATTAATAGATAACTAAGTTCAATAATACATCACTCATAACTGTTTTTGAATGATATGAATTAAGTTGAAATTATGGTGACTACCCACATGACTGCTATATTTTCTTATCATATGCATTCAATAATTGTTTGTGTTGTTTTGAAGCCTAGTTAATAACTTTTTGTATCTCTAATAATTTCAGCAACTGTTCCACTAATTTGTGAACAATGGCCTCTGCCGTTTCCATCCTCACTGGAACTAACTTTTCAGAATGGAAAGAAAATGTTGAGTTCACATTAGGAATACTGGATTTAGACCTGGCACTTTGAAAAGAAAAGTCAAATCCGTTGAATGAAACTAGTATCAAGGAAGAAAATGCTTTTGATAATAATTAGAAAAAGTGAACATATTGAGCATTATATTTTTAAGAATAACAATAGCTAACAACATTAAGTTTTCCCTTGCAGATGCAGATAAAGCTAAGGCTTATATGGCATGCATAGAAAAAAGATTTAAGACTGCAGATAAATCCCTTGCATGGAAACTTATGGCAGTTTTTTTTACAACCATGAAACATGATCACACAAGGTCTATGCATCAACATTGCATTGAAATGATCAACCTTGTGATATATCATGGTTTTATGGTTTTTAACCATGATATAAGTCCTTTTTATTGAGTGTTTTTGGTCTTTTTAGAGTCCTAGTAGAGTCTTTGCAGGTTATAGCACAAGTGGAGCACAATTAGAGATTTTGGAGCTTTTTGGAGCATTGCAAGATACAGCCACGCATTGTACAACTCGAAAGGCAAATACAGAGCTGGGTGACGCTCGCCACCACTCAAGGGTGACGCTCGTCACCCGTAGAGGAAGGAGTCGCAATGGTTTGTTAAAAGATTGAAGATTGTTTGCACTTTGGCCCCTGAAGTTCTAGTACTTAAAAAAGTA